AAGGTTCACATAATATGTGAATATGCATCAACACTGAGCCTAACTGCAGCCATGTTGTCAGAATATCACAAGGGGTAGTAATGCTCCATACTTACAGGCAGAACAAGCAAAGACAACTCAGCAGTTAGCACAACTAACACAGAAACACGTCAAGGTTATTGCCATCTGCTCCCTACTAGCTTCCTGTGAAGTTAGCAGGGTTTACAGGATGTACTAGGTTAAAGTTCAGGATATACTAGATTGAAACTAAGCAAGTAAACTAACTCAAAACTCCAACTACCCTTTACAAAATATGTTTGCACGTAGACAGCTCGCAAATCCAGTAAATTACCTAATGCACTGCTAGGCTGCAAACATGACATCTGCGTGTACAAAATTGTAGTCTTAATTCAGAACTATCAAAAGCAAAAACATGACACACAGTTCTCGGGCAATGCATGAGAGCGGCACAACGGCATTCAGTACAAAGAAAACTGTGGAACCTACGCTCCACTTTGCCTTTTTGTAAGAGAAGGAAGAAAACTTACATTTTAGCTCAACTTTTTGTAGTCAAAACACATTCCCCAAAGAATGTAATTTTTCACTTTTGTAATTGAAATGTAAGGAAACCTTTTTTTTGAAACCAATCTCAAAAATTTAACTGAAGTATTTATTTGCTTGCTTAGTATTAAAAAGCCTGTGTTGACTCTCAAATTAATGTTTTCTTACCCTAAACAAGTTGATTCCTGTGCCTACTCCTACTGAGGGAGGCCAAACCCCTTTTTTATTAAAAAGGAAAGAGAAAGAGACAAATTTGTAACTGTCATTTTATTTGTGTCTGAAAATCATGACAGTAGTGCCAAGGGTCTTTGTTGTATTGGCCACGTTACAAGCAGTAGGCCCAGTCTGAGAGCTGGGATTTCACATGTAGATTTTTGTACTTGGGACAGGAGTGAAGTTACTGACTGCTCCCTACCAGACTTGGAAGTAGAAGGTAAAAATGCCACATAGTATGAAAAGCTAAAGTATACTGACCAGAGAAGGAACTGTAACTTCTACTATAATTTTACTCAGGTGTCCAAGATGGCAGAAATGCTCCCTCGCCCCAAGGTTATGGTAGCCAAAAGACATCACATGAATTAATTAGAAATTACAGTGTCTTTCTAATGAAGTAGTTCACCCCAGCTACAACCTCAAAGAAATAAATAAATAAAAAAAAAATCCTGGTGGCAGTGAACTTTCTTAAAACAATGAAGCTGTAGAGCTTGCTCGGCAGAACTAATATTTCTTGAGGCTGAAGTGAGTACTGTGGAATTACGAAGACATTCCTTTTGCCATTCACAAATCTCTCCCTAAAGAACATCTCATTGAAAACAAGAAGCCACCCTCTACTTGATGATTCAAAATTCTGAAAATAAATGGTTTTGGAGAGTATTTTAAAAAAACCCCAAACAAACAGCACCAAAAGACCCCAAACACAGAAAAAAAGAGAAGCAAAATCCACATTTATCTGTTGTTTGAAGCCCAGATATTGCAACACTGAGAACAAAATCAAGACTATGAAACAACTTTCCTTACAGTTCCACACTAAGAATGCAAACTATCATTCCAGAGTTCTAGTTTACTGAACAGAGAAGTTAAATTAGTTTTCTAGGTGTTCTCTAGTTATCTTCTAGCTGTTCATAAACCTTTCAAAGACAAGCATAAGATGCTTGAGACTCAGAAATAAGAACTTAATTTGATTAAGAGCTCTGCTCTTCTAATGATACCTCAGGGAACTAAGTACAACTGCATTTTGTTACATATTTGAGTAACTTTCTTTGCTTTTATTCTCCCCATGCAAAGGCAAAATAAAACCTATTAATTGAAGTATACCCTAATGCTGTTGGGACATAAGGTTAAAATTGGACAAAAAGCTCTCAGTCTACTCTGATGCTTGGCTGCACCTTCATATTACAATTCTAAAAGTGCTACAGACAGCTGTATCTAGACTACTATTTTTGATTATTCACATCTAGAAATAACTTTCTGTTGTTGTTATGTCTAAACTGAAGTCTATCTCGAAGTAGTACAGTATTATGGCAAAATTCCTCCCCCTCTAAGTTATTCTCAAAACTGGCAAAGATTAGAAAAATTTAGGAAAAAACCTATCAAGTTTGATTTATCCACAGTTTAGAATTTTAAAAGAAGAAAATCCTCATCTTCAATGTTCACCCATGAGAAAACAGCTACTCTAATTACAATAGAAAAGGAGAACACACAGTTTAATCTAAATTCTAGCATGATTCTTCTCCCACCTCCCATTTCTAGCATTGCAGTACCAGTATACATTATGAAAAAACATTTAACTCTACAATACTTTTTCCACAGTTATGTTCTCTTATGCAGAAAAGCAGTAGTAGTTTGAGCTTACAGTGCTTTTGTTTGGACAGCTGAAAACATCTTGCAAAGTCTCAAAATATTATTGTAAGTTCGGCAAGTACACATTCATTTCACAGAATAATGTGAGGATTAAGAAGGGCATTAGTTACAAGGCAAGGTATAAGAAATAAATTTATACTGACAGGGAAAAGTCCTAATAGGAAAAGTGCAATTCCATTAAATAATACTTTGATATTTCATGACATAAACATTACTTTTTCCATAGAAAGCTCAGACATTTAAATACTGACATATACCAATTTCAGATGAGGGTGGAAATAAAGTAGTCCCAACCTTTGCGTGCACTATAAGCATAAGCTAACTTTACAAGCAGTAAGACACATGCATTAACACTGAATTTGGAGAATTACTGCATTGGTTCTCAAGATAGGGATTATGCATGTTTTCATCCAAAGCTTTATGAGAAGTGTTCCGTTTCTGTACAAGTAGTTCAAGCATGAACTTCTTAATCATTGGTACACAAAAACAGTTATCCTGAAGATGTGTAAAAGTTTGTTCAAAAATTTCAGCAGACAGGATTCTTTTCTAGAGTTGGTAACTGCTTACATAGCTCCAATTCCTGTGGGGAACTGGATGTTCACTTCCTCAGAGGAAACAGCTTCTTATGCCACAATTACTTAGATATGAAGACAATTCTTTCATGCCTTTTCCTTACGCTTCACGTCCATCACTTCCTCAACATAATTCTGTCATGCATCTCCCCTTTAACAACCAGGACACTGCTCCCTTGAAGACTGCCTAAGTTTTCAAGGAGAAAAATACTGGTTTTAGGTATTGTCTAGGTTATGATATGTTGATTTTACAAATCTGCTTTAAGTTGTAAGTATGGAGGGGGAAGTGTATTTCACTTCTTTAGCACAATGTTTAGATGGTGAAGCCTGGAGTCCCTAAAAATTTTACTTTTTGGGGGTTGGATCAAACTGACTATCACAGAATCACAGAATGTCAGGGACTGGAAGGGACCTCGAAAGATCATCTAGTCCAATACCCCTGCTGGAGCAGGAACACCTAGATGAGATCACACAGGAAGGCGTCCAGGCGGGTTTTGAATGTCTCCACAGAAGACTCCACAACCTCCCTGGGCAGCCTGTTCCAGTGCTCTGACACCCTCACTGTAAAGAAGTTTCTTCTCAAGTTTAAGTAGAACCTCCTGTGTTCCAGCTTGAACCCACTGCCCCTTGTCCTATCATTGGTTGTCACTGAGAAGAGTCTACCTCCAGTGCCGAGGAACTGTACATTTACTATTTCACAGAGCAACCAGGAATACTTCAGTATGGAGCTTTCAGGACAAAGCCTGATGTTCCCTGTAATCAGCACTTTTTGGCTGGACACTGAGATCAGAGCAGGACCCTTTCTCTGGTGTTATCAAAGAATTTTCTCTCCCTCCCACCCAGTGCCATCTGTACAGCTGCCTGAAAAAGAAACACATTAAAAAGAACACAGATAAAAGGACAATTGGGACATAAAAGTGTTATAAAGACCTGAATAAGCAGAGGTTGAAAGTGAAGGGAGGAAAAATACCAATTAGCTCATCAAGGAAGAAAGTATCTAGTGAAAAAAAGAACTAGAGCATCCAGTGCTCTAGTCTCACCTACTCTGGGGACCAATCAGGATGCAAAGAGTACCAAAAGAGATATTTATGGGGATCATCAACCACATTTTCTGATTTATAATGATAAACAAAAAGGAATTTCAGTCTTAACTCTGACTCTGCACAGTGAAAGAGTGGATTACCTCCACTAAACAATGGTGATGACCGATGAAATTACCAGCAGGAAGGATCAGCTGGGTTCCTTAATGCACTTTGGGCAACATGAACTATCTCAAAGCTTACTGGTATTAGTTAACCTAATCTGATTGAATTTGCAGGAATGGATTAGAACAAGCTCTGATAATTCTGTGCCAGAGAAGCAGGAGGTACCAAGTATTTGGGCGTGACATTAATTTTCAGCAGCACAGCCAAGATCAGGAAATCATCCACAGTCCAAGCATTCCACTTCATAGTCCCACAGTGTTAGCAGCTATTTAAGGTCTGCAAAACTCTACACTCAATACTGCAGGAATTTGAATGCTCTACTGCAGATTTCCTTGAAACCAAACAAATATGATTTAATCATGCAGAAAAGTAAAATTTTCTCCCAATATTTTGTTTGTTTTAGCTACATTAAGTCAATTTTAATAGTCAATTTTAACATTCTTCCTGGCAAGAATGAAAATAGCAGGCAGCATATTTTCAAGTTTCCAAAACAGCCACTGATCGTTTAGCCTTTGAAGACAGGTATTTCTCTGTTAGACTCTCCCTTATGTTAGAACTTGGAATATTCCAAGTCCAAAACAGTAAATGGAATTTCATTCAGTCAGAAATTCATCCACCCTAGCACATGGGATGCTATTAGAAGAAGAAGTATCTACAGCGTGTATTTGTCAGAAGACAAAGTCATAATGGTTCCTTCTCCTCCTAAGATGTATGAATCTGCACTGTGCAAGAGACATTTAAAAAAAATAAAATAAAAATCAGTATTTACTAGCACTACTAAAACACAAAACATTCCATTAGCATATAACTGTAATGCAAGCCCTTGCATGGCAATCCAAATTTATTGAACTACTGATGCTAAGTCATACAAAATTGCACCACTTTAATTAAGGCTTTTAGTTTACATTTGGCCACCTCAAAGCAGTTGTAACATTAGGTTGGTCAATTTAAATACTGTGGCTCCCTGTTGGATATACACACAATCTTTACACCCAAACATTAATGCATACAAAGCAACAAGGCATTGTTAAATAAATCAGCAAAAGTTAATTACTGCAACTTAGGCCCTGTGACCAATTACACATGATAAAAATTACTTCCCACATTCACATCCACAGTACTCTTCCACCATTTAACATCTCAACCAAAACGTTACACATGTAAAACAATCACTAACAGGCAAAAGTACTAAACCTGTATATTTGGTATTGCAAATACACTTATGCATGAGCAAGCAAGGGAATTCACAGTGAGAATCTACAGCTGCAGAAGCCCGAAAATGATTTACAAAAAATTGTTAAATCATTAAAAAATTGTTTTAAAATATACACTTCTTGTTGTAGACCCCCACTGTACACACAACTATAAACATTGTTCCCTATGTAAACAAGGAAAAGGAAACATACAATAAAAGGTTGAAAAGTCTGGACATTTCCTTCCCAACAGATATTAAAGGCCATGTCTTTAGTCAGACGTTATGCTGAAAGGACTCTTAAAGACTAGATCACTGCCTCCACAGGTTTTTCCTAAAATTAAAAAACTATATAGCTGTTGTGTTAATCAAAGCGCTTTTGTACAATACGATGATGATGATGATGATGATCCTGTATTTCTTTAAAAAAGTTACAATAAGCTACAAATACCGATGAAGCAAAGTTATCTGGAGTAGTCTATATAGGAGCTCTTTGGACTTTCTTTTATTATGCTAAAATAGTGGTGCTTTTAGGATTTACATTATTGTACTCTCCAATAGAAAGTGGGGATTGTTGAAGTATACAGTACACAGTTTTCATACATGTACAACATTGGTGGATGAACAATGTCTCTTATCAGTAATACTGGATGTAGGCTCTGGTTTTACCAGTTGCATACACTTAGAATATTTATAAGTAAAAATCTCTCGTGACACTGGAAAGTGATTAGAATGTGCAAACTGATGTAGTAGCTTTCATCCATTTCTTAAAGGGTACCACCACAGGAAAGTCCATTTAAGATGTTGGTAGGTTTAATAAAGTTGGAATGCTGGCACTGTTGAATTGGGCAACAGTTCTTCAGACCTGTAACAACAAATCAAGAGGTTAGTATTAGTAACAACTGATGGTCATTGTTCTTTTGTTAAAACAACTAAAGCAGTAACCAGCAAAGTTCTTAGCAAACTGACTTGCAAAATAACCTTATCACTTCTCCTCTAATAATACAATTTCTACTGTACACATACCAAAACCAGACTATCTCAATTAGTAAGACTGAATTGGGATACATATGGTAACCCAAACTGAACTGTGGATGTAGTATTGGGACTAGTTTTGCTTACAATATGATAGTTCCAGTAGCTTTAAAAAACAAACACATTTGGAGGATCAAAGCTCCTGGATCAAAAGCCCTGTTAAGGAAATGCAGCAGCTATTTCTGCCATCCTCAGCTAATACTTTTGGAACCCTCTCAGTTTTACTTTGAGCTGATTCAAGTTGTTCAAATTACCTAAATTCTGATATTGATACCAAAAAAGAGTTAAAGATGGCACTATCTGAATATTAACAAAAGCCTGCGATTTATGACAGTGAAGTGTCCTACCAGGATCCTCCAGTATATCAAGCAGGTCTGTCAGATTACAAAATAATGGATCACAGCACTGAAACAACCAAACCACCATATGTCCAGTAAAACTGAAGGGAATCAAGATGAACAGGAAACTTGCATAACATCAGGTCAATCGAGAGATCTCTGTCCATACTAAGGCTCAGAGGTGGAAAGGGAGAAACAATCTGCCTGAGAACAAGTTGCAGAAAAAAATTCATGCCTGCTGACTAACTTCCGAAAAGGCTTGCTAAAGAGCAGGCTGGAGCTTGCTTGGGCTTTCAGCAGCATTCTTAAAAGCACGGATTTAGTCATGTAGAACATTAGCCAACTGCCAACAAGTAAGAAATTGAACTAGTAACCAGTATCTCTAGGTGAAATATTTGGAGTGTTACAATGATCACTCCACCATTCTCTTCCAAATGTACTTATTACAATGCAGCCTATAAAATATCCAAATAGTCCAAAGAAAACAACCTAAATTCCTATGACATCATGCAAATACATGCAAGAGTTCAAAGCAGAGAGTGACATTTTAGCATGCAAACTGCAATATTTTAGATTGTGCATTCCTGATAATTAAGCTCTTGCAGTATATTCTATCAGCCTTTAAAAAATAAAACCCTGTTTCCAAAAGCTAAAGTTTAAGTATCAGAACAAACATCCCTAATTTGAGCTCTACCAACACCTTAAAGCTTGGGAAAAAGAAAAAGTTTGTACTAGTGTGAACAGTGTATCTTGCACATATTTGTAGTTCTGTAAATCAAGAATGTTCAATGCTGCTCTGCATCAACAGCTACCACAGTTGTTTAAGGTTTTTTTGTTGTTTTGTTTGTTTTTAATAGCAATAATACACAGATAATTTTAAATTGTTTACCTGGCTCAGAGCTACAGTACAGCTGTGTATTAAAGTAGCTGACATGATGACTTTTTGCGTGCTTTTCCAGGCACTGGAGTTTTTCTGTTAATTTGTCGCACAAGGTCATAAAAGATCTGAGAATATAAAAACCACTTGGTTATTGGAATTAAGAGGCTTCTCTCACAGCCATAAAACTCGAATCTTCACACATAATGTACTCATATACTCAAGAACCCTGTAAATATTTAGTTATCAAAGCCAGAAAGTTAAATTGTATACTTAATTAAGACCCGCTTATTTTCTGTGTCAAGTCTTTTCTACTTTTAATGAAGCAAACTGGAAAGGCATCTGTAATCTGCAGCCGTTTAATCTCTGGGTCAACTTTATCTGAACACGCACGACATACGTCACAATGATCAACCACTACATACTATTACTTTGCAATTTAGCACTGAGGTCAAGACACGGGCCATAGCTTTCTTCTAATTCAGATCACTCAAAAGATATTCTTTTAAATAAAGTTCTAATAAGTATTAACTCCACATTTTCATGGTGACTGAAGTACATTGCATATTCTGTAATAGTCTCTTGTATTCGAATGAGATCATGCTTTTCCAGATACTTTACAAACAATGAAGTCTAGAGAATTAATTCAGCAGCCTCTCTAGGACTGACTACAGCATGACATAAGCGTAACATTTCCTAGAAAAGTAACTCATGTATGAGGCTCTCTCACACTTTGAATCTCCTAGAATTCTAATTAGAACATGATTTTGTTGAAAGACTAATTTAAGACAAGTCTACATACTGCAATTAAACAGCATCTGTTTCGTTCATAACTGACATTGTTCCAATTATTTCTGCATCTCCTAAATCAAGGGAGTCCTCATGCTAAAGCCATCCTATCAGTTTCCTAAGCACTGGTTGCAAAGCAGCAAACATTCCAACAAGGGCTTTTAGTATTTGATTAAAGTAATTTATAGTTTATTAAACATATGACTTTTATACAGTCAGGCTGACTGATTTGTATTTAAGAAAAACTGAATAGTTTCTAGAAATTCCCAACTAATTAAACACACATTACTAATTTTTAAAATCAGCTGTGCTTAAAACCACCATATTCATTTGTTTACACGCAAGTCTTGCACAGAGGCCCTTTCAACTTGACTGACACTGCCAGCAATGTTTTCCACAATGAGTTGCAGGGTTTATCATAATATTCCAAGCTGTTCTAGAAATGTAAACACTAACACAGCTTCTTTTCTGAAAACTTTTTCTTCCCTTTCTTTATGCTGGCACCCTCGCTGGATAAGAAGGCATGCACTATGGCAAGTCACGAAAACGCTTATGTTTGATCAGTTACCTAGCTCCTGCTAAATAATTAAGTAGCTAGATAGCAGAGAGGCTTTTGCCTTCCTTTTTCTTTACAGAGCACCTATTTAGGTCTCTTCTCTAATCAGCTGCTAATTTGGACAAAACCCTTAAAGAGTGTTTGTCCTTACCATCTCATATAATTTAATACCAAATAAATCAATTTGTTTTAAGGACTTAAATCTCTTAAAGGTCTCTAAGAAAAAAAGTAGTCTAGCAGTGGATTATATCAACTAAGGAATGTAACATGAAAAAAACATTTATCCCAAATTCATATGAATATAATTTGAAAACTAATTATACTAAAATTAATACAATTTTTAGAAGTCCTAAGTCAAAGCTAACTACATCCCTTAATAGAAGCATCTCACATTCTCACAGTACTTTTGCATAGTTTTGTCCATTACAGTGAATGTCATTCATAATTTTGTTAGTTTTCCTTGACAAACGGTAACATTTGGTTACCAACACAGTGTCCCATCCTTCTCCCCCTGCCGCCCTTCCCCCCATAGCTAGTGCGCCTTACCTCATTAACATTTATCTTTGATTTTGCAGAAGACTCTAAGAATGCACAGTTATTCCATTGCCTTGCTAGGTTCTGACCTTGCTCCTTTCCCACAACTCTTTCATCTTCCAAGTCACACTTATTGCCAACCAGAATCATAGGCACCTAAAACCAATTTAATACCAGCAAAGAATTCATTAAAATTTTGGGAAGGCACAATGTAAATGCACATCTAAAACCCTATCAGAATTCTTAGAGGACCCTGACCTCCAGAATAATCAGGTCTGGTGTAACAGAAACAAGTTTACTCTCGTTGTGCGAGACTTTAATCTTCAAATCAAAGTGATTGTATTTTTTGCCTGCAGTTTGGCAGGGCAGTGGGGGGAATGGTTTGAGGATTCAGTACACTGCCAATTGATAAAAATTTCCCATCTTCTGGAAGACTTAGTGAGATTTCATTATTAGATGTTTAAGGTAACAAGAAGTCTACTGAAGACTCCGCTACAAGATTCTTACATGTTCAGAAATCCTGGGAAAAGTGCCCTGTACCAGGTAGTACGGAGAAAGATGCTACAGTTCCTTTCACTATTCCTATATGTCCAGCACATCTACACTCCTTTCAAGAGCAGTTTGCTGACACAGTTCTTATTAGTAAGCTGGTGCACAGAGAGGTAAGAAAGATGCTAGTTTATAAAAAAATTACTGAACTGATCTTTGTGGCAAGAAAGGCAATCATACAAAGTTGTTGGGTTTTTTGTAGGTTTTTTTAATTTTGTTTTGTTTTTTCCTCCTTTAACTAATTTAAGGACAGAGCTAAGGTTCTCCCAAACTCAAGTGCTGAAAAAACATTTACAATATTTTGATCATTTAATTTCCCCCCCACTGAGAAAGCAAGTCATGCTTAAGCTTTGGCAGAAGGAAAAACTTTACATAAATTTTGGTGAGAACTGAAGTTGCAACTTGAAGCTCATTATCTTTTCCCTAATACTATGGAATGGCTTTCAAGACTGAAGGCAGTGTTCTAAAGAGAAATACAGTTCCAATGAAATACTACCAAAATACTACCAAAGAAAGCTTATGTGAACCAGTGTAACTACAGCATGTACACTAATGTTTCAAATACTGTCACATTTATCTTGATTTTAGTGTACAAAATTAATTTGATACTAAACAAGGCTATGACATGGTAGGTTCCAGATGGGAAAAGCACACACAACTTAAATAGTACCCTTTTGACACACATTTGTGATAATAGGTAATAAATCACTTCTAGAAGAAATCTGCTGAACACAGGCAAGACCTGCAAATGCTTACGCCTAAGAAAGTGCAAGGTGGTTTGTATTACACGAGTCACAGTGAACTTCCCCGAAATTGCTGTGTCTGCTGGCAGCAGAGGCATACGTAGATGCATACAGTAAAGAAGGGATCAGTTTTCATAAGCACAGTTTAAATTAGATGAGCACACTTAAAAATTGTTCATTGCTTATATATTTTTTCCCCCAAGGAAGTTTTTCTGTCTGATAGCTACAACCTACAAGATGTTTCTGTTAAAAACACACTTTTTAACTGCTGTTTCACATTTGAAATACCTTTCTTCCTTTTATTAGGGGACTAAGTATTCACTTCCTATAACCACAGTAAGTTTTGGGTTTTTTTTAATCAATTTTAAACTGGAATGCTTTAGCCTCACATTATAGCTTTAATAATGCTAAGAAGCACATATAGAAATTGTGTGGAAATAGTGTGACCTAATTTACTTGCAAGAATGCACACAAAATATAAAAACTACATAACGTGCAAGTTTAAATCTTAAAGTACTGTCTTCTGTAAGAACTTAGAATTTTATGCTTTTAAAACACCATAAACAGTAGGCATATTGAAGAGAAAAATTGAGCTGTAGGTTTTTTCTAAACCCTCATTGACAGTAATTGAGATAAGAATAGAGTTGCTTCAGAAATGTTTTCTGCAGTACTAGTGAATAAGGTTATATACAGCTTCAAATAGCGTATTTTAAAGGAAGATACTAAAAAGGCAATTCTCTTTCTACAGCACATGACAAATTACAATTTCTCTAGTTTGCCTTAAGAGTTGCAATTCTGTACTATGCATCTATTGGGTGATTTGTCTCTTAATTTAAAGCTTGGAAGCTATCCAATCACAGTGTATACATTACAACAGCTGTAATGAAAACTGTAAATATAAGTATTAAGCATTTTTAGAGATGCTTACATCATCAGTGTCTTTGACTCGAAGAATCTGTTCTCTTAGATCCTGTAAATCATTAAAGGTGGACTGTGCTGTGATGGAATATACTAATGCAAAACCTTGTCCATTTTTCATGTATAGGTCTCTCATTGCTGTAAACTGTTCCTGTAATTAAAAAAAAGATACAGACGTTGCATTCAGTTTCCACTTTCCTTACACAAACTGCCATATACTTCAGGTCACAAATGGATCACAAACACAATGCATCTGTGCCCTCCCCCCACTTTTAAAACTGACCAATATTTTACTGTTTGACCATAAACATTACAGTAAACTGAACTACTTTTAAATAAATCTAGTTTAGAACATTATGTGGGGTGGCTGAACAATAGATATTGGCAAAGGCTATACCCCAGTGTGGTGGGGAAATCACAGAAACTAAAATAATTTCAAAAGAGAGAAGGTACAGTGTAATCCATAGATTACAGAAGTTACATTCCTCCTGAACCTTTCCTTACACACCAACTTTCCCCCATCTCCTGACTGACCTCCCTGCTAAAGCAGGTTCATCTAGAGCAGGTTGCACAGGATCACATCCAGTCTGGTTTTGAATATCTCCAGAGAAGATGTTCCAGTTTATGCCCATTGCCCCATGTCCTGTCAGTGGGCA